TGGAGCGCAAACGCACAAGGGATTCAGAGCTTTTGAACATCGCATCCACTCCCCCCCCCCCCCCCCCCCGCCCATCGTTTTCCAGCCGAGGGTGCGGAGGATGCGGAGCAGATGAGTTTGGCGTTCAGCTAGATCGAGTCCTTAGATCTGCGGGGTGCAGGGGCCATGGAACCCGCCGTTCATGACATGTTACGCTTTCCAGCTGAGCCGCAGTTTTCGATGTCGGCAGGGCCTTGTTGATCTCCTTTTGGGTTCCAGTTGTCATCGTACCAAGATGACTTGAGCCTGAGCCGCCTGGGCGCTTCAATCCCAGATCTGCCTTCTTCGTCGTAACTGTTGCAAGACCTCTACTTTACCTGAACTGGCAAATCACTGCACCTGGAAGCTGACTGCAAGACCTTGACGTCAAACGGCCCCATGCGAGGTGTCTACGACTGAGCACAGCTGGCATGGGAGCTTGTGTCTTTGGAGTCAGCTTTCTAGATTGATGTTCTTTATCCTATCCGAGAGCTTCCACGCGCAGCGGAGAGGGATGGCGATTCTTTCGTGTAATTTGCCGTGGTTGCCATGACAGGGGCCAGCAGGTCATGTACACGAAGCAAGGATCCCAGTCGTGAGCTCCAAAGGGCGGCTAGATCGGTACAACTCCACGTGTCCGACACCGCAAACAGATTTGCTGAGGCAAGCGCCCCTGTCACGGATCATGGTCTCCTCGGCACTGCACAGTGGACCAGATCTCAGACATTCTCAGACTGAGGGTTGGCGCAGCGAAACTGGTTCATGGACGGTGTGACTTACCCTCCGGAGGCTTTGAAGGCAAAGGCTGCCAAGGCCGCCACGGCTACCCAGAAAACGACAGCGCCCAAAGCTACGGCACAAGAACGGGCTTTCATTCCGAGTCCCAGGAGTTTGATGGCACTCTTGCACTGACGGCCGACTGTGGAGATGAAGATGTTCTGGACAGGTGAGGAAGTGGAAGCCAAAGCCGCCAACGCACGAGGCTGGCAAGACCACTTTATTCACTTCCTGTGCACTCAGCAACCCCCACATGCAGTCTACAATGTCTACAATACGAAGCCGTGAGCCACAGCCACAAAGTCTACTCGCACAGGCAATCGTCCCGACCCTGGTAAGACTCGAGATGGAATGCAGAATACGGTTGAAATCGTCGTGGAGTCGTGGATGGCTTTCAATTGAGCAGCCACTCACTTGCACGCCGAACGTTAGCTGGGCTGGGGCTGAGAAGATTGTTGAAATCGTGGTGCATGGCTTTCAATTGAGCAGCCACTCACTTGAACGCGAAACGCTGCAAGGCTGGCAAGCGGCTTAGAATATGCTTGAAATCGTCATGGATCGCTTTCAATTGAGCAGCCCTTCACTTACTTGAATGCGGAACAGTAGCCGGGATGGGGCGGAGATTGAAACGCGCAAAGCTGGCAAGGGGCTTGAAATATGCTTGGAATCGCCATGGATCGCTTTCAATCGAGCAGCCACTCACTTGAACGCGGAACGTTGCAAAGTTGGGATGGGGCTGGGAATCTTGTCGAAATCGTCGTCGCTCGCCTTTATTTCAGCAGCCGCTCGCTTGAACGCCGAACGCTGCAAAGTTGGGATGGGGCTGGAATATTTTTGAAATTGTCGTGGTCTTTCAATTGAGCAACGCCGAATGTTGCAGAGTGAAGCTGGGGCTGGGAATATGCTTGAAATCCGTGGGTCGCTTACAACTGAGCAACAGCTCCGGGTGGTGTTGTGTCAAGAAACGGTAGATGCATGCGACTGAAGCAAGCGTTTAGCATCAGTTATGCATGCAATACGTACTGCAAGAGGTACGCTCTCCGCAATGACAGTTTCGCTGCGGTTTAGACCCCAACAGAGCCACAATAACCAGTTCGTGAGCAGGAGCTGTCAAAGGCACTCGCCTGGAAGGCAAAGGCAGAGAAATTGGAAAGCGGCGAGCTGCAAGCAGAGGCCCTAGGCCAGGTTGATTCGCATTTGGCCTGTGCGCAGCAGCTTAAAACTGGCTCAGGCCTCGCGTGCGGCACAAATCACAAAGTCTGCTTCAGTGAGAGCCAGGCCCCTAAAGAAAATGCGAGCTAGCTTAGCTGGCCTCATGACCTAATGGACGACGGAAGGCCCGGTGCAGTACGGAAACACAGGGCAGGAACCTTCAGGTTTTGAAGCAAACCTCACGGATGCAATTTGACTTTCCCAGCTTTGGCCACAAACATGGTCGCATCAAGTCGCGCCGAAACGGGTCAACACCTTCGCAGGCCATAAGTGTATCCTCGCCATTACTGTCCCAACATCTGCAGCCAAAGGTTGCAAGTTGCGCAGCAGGAGGCGCCCCGCCTCCAACAACTCGAGCAGCCTGCAGCAGCGCAGCCCGTGGCACTTGTGGTCCAGGTGGCCTGTCTCAATGCCAAACTGCAGGCCGCCGAGAAGAAGGCTTCAGAGGCCCCTGGCACTGATGGAAGTAGACGGGTCGCAGTTGTTGATGGTATGTTTGCCGTCGACCCGGGCAGGTGTCACTTGTGTAAAGGATGTCAAGCGCACTAGACGCAGCAAGTGCGCCAGCACCTTTTGATAGGAGGCAGGCCATGCAAAGTCGGCTCTCCACGTCATGAAGGCGGTGATAGTTGTGGCTGTGTGCAGCACTACTGTAGCTCCGAGAGTGCAGTTTGAAGGCTAGTCCACCATTGCCGAAGCCAGAGGCCAGTAGCGGTAGCGCATGGTTGCGTGGAGGGAGTCGAAGGCGCAGCAACAGTGGAAGTCACTGCCTATGCAGGAGCCAGATGCGAAAGAGGGCACTCCTGGCATTCAGGCACGGCCAACACATGAGTATGCATGGGGCTTCTCGCGACAACCACGACACAAAGTGCTGTAAGAGCCTGGTGGTGCCCGACTTGGACATCTGAAGCTGACAGGCGCCCCTGCCGGCTGCAAAGGCAAGGATGTTGGCTGGTTGACCATGTGGGTTTGGTGGAAGTCATTGCCTATGCAGGAGCCAGATGCGGAGTTGGGCGCTTCTCCTGGCATCCAGGCATGCCAGGAACCGCATGAGTAACGTTAAGGGTTAAGCAATGGCATCTGGCAGGTGTCACCGTCACCTGCAAAGGCACCGGGCCTTTGGATGGTTGACCATGCGGGTTAGAGTGTGTGCGTGTGGGCGTGTGGGCGTGTGGGCATGTATGTGTGTGTGTGTGTGTGTGTGGGTGAGTGGGTGTGTGGGTGTGTGGGTGTGTGGGTGTGTGGGTGTGTGGGTGTGTGGGTGGGTGTGTGTGTGTGTGTGCGCGTGTGTGCGCGTGTGTGCGCGTGTGTGCGCGTGTGTGGGTGTGTGGGTGGGTGGGTGTGGGTGTGGGTGTGGGTGTGGGTGTGTGTGCATGTATGTATGTATGTGTGTGTATGTTGTGTGTGTGTGTGTGCGTGTGTCTGTCTGCATGTTGTGAGACCACTCGTCACGGGTGATACAATATCCAAATGTTGCCGGCATCGGCGTTTGAATGTAATCAGCTCACACATCGAACAGGTTACGATTTGTTCCAAGCATGGGCGTGGGTATGCTTTCGACATTACACATAACAGTTTATTGCGTGGAATCTATCGTTAGCTCACATCGCAGAGGGTACTATTTGGTCCGAACCTCCGCGTTCGCACATAACAGGGAGTACGACTTGTTGCCGGGAATACGTGGTCACCTCACACATCACACAGGGTACACTTTGCTGCTTGCGTGGAATATGTGGTCGGCTCGCACATCGCATTTGGGTACGAATTGTTACAGGCATCTGCTTCTTTTCGCCTGCTATCTGCAGTGCTCTGCTGTTGTCCTGTCTAGCTTTCGTCCCATCCACGTCTCCCCGAGTCACATGAGCACTATGATTTCTGCATTCAACCAGATGCCAGCAGGACGAGTACTGGCTAGACTTCATGGAGGAGGGCGAGGACCTTCGAGCTGATTTCAGCTTGCCACCGCTACGCCCTCCACTAGGCGATGTGGTGAGCTCAAGCCTGCCAGGTGGTTTATCATGGGGTGACCGTCGTGAACAAGTGTAAATGTTTTTTTCAAGACCCGAGGTCCGTGTGATCCAGAACCCCGACGGTGTCGAAGTCATCAAGAAGGTTGGGTTGAGATTGTAGTTTCTTTTCGCTTGCGCGCACACCCACCGGCGCCGCGCCTTTCGTGACACTGCTGACAGTTTCTGCCCTAACCAGCTGTCATGCCGACGTTTAAAACGCGGAGCTCTTCTTCAAGCGGATGGGGCTGGGAACATTGTTGAAATCGTCGTGGGTCGCTTGCAATTGAGCAGCCGCTCACTTGAACGCGAGACTCTGCAAAGCTGGGCTGGGGCTGGAAATATCGTTGGAATCGTCGTGGGTCGCTTTCAATTGAGCAGCCGCTCACTCGAAACCTGCTGCTGCACACTCATGGCACAGGATATCGTCGCCACAGCGTCACTGGCCTTGCTACAGCAGGCTGTCGGTGAAGAGCGCTTGGCACGGCACGACCTTGCGCGGGGAGTTACTGCTTTCTAGCGGGGCGGGATTGGCCTCATGCATCCATCAACGAAATTACGGCTCAGTGCTTACAACAGCGCTCGTGGCCTGTTTAGGTAAGCTCCGTCGCATTCGTGATCCTTGTTCCATGCTCCTGTGTTTTTGTTTTGAGAGATTCTTGTCAATGTCAGTGCCGCTGCCGCCAGTAGCAACATCATCAGCATCAGCATCTTCTTCGCCATCACCAGTACCATCATCATCATGTAGCATCATCACCATCATTCTCGTCCTCATCATTGTCTACTGCTCGTCGGAATACTCAGCCTTACTGCGTGCCAGCTCGCCTTGCAGTTGCTCAGCCCTTTGCATCGTATTGCGTTGTAAGAGAGAAGGTCAACCGGGCCAAAGGCGAGTGCGATTGCCAACACCCGAAAGGCCCTCGTCCAATGAGGCGTCAGCTGCTTGAAACCGACCTCGCATGTGTCTTTCCTGTTCTGGGGGCACAGATGCCGAGCGCCTTTGGACAATGGTGGAGCACGCACAAGGCGCGAATTGCATAATGTTGTCTGACGTGCAATCTGCTGCACCATAGATTGCCGGTGTTTGCAAGCCCTGTGCTAGCGTGCAGGTCCACAGCCATTCTTGGCAAGGTGGAGCTCCCAGGCAAGTTTGCAAGTCCGATGGCGGTACATGTTTCTTAGGCGTTCTTGTTACAATGTGTTGGACACTGTCATAGGATGTGATGGGCAGCTGCGTGAGTTCGGTGAACCTGGTGACAAGAAGGGTGCACCGTTGGGTGTTGCAGACCATGATTCAGCGGAAGCGTTCAGTTTCTTGTCAGCAACCACATCCCCTCAATGCCTCATTGCCATGTTTGGACGGTCTCAGCTTCGGTTTGCAATCTTTTGCACAACATGTCGTTGAGCTTGGGCACTATAGAATTTGTGTTTCATCGATGGCACAAGATGAATGTACCGTTTCTGAATCTGCAACCCTCGGCGCAGATATCGAAACACTTTAGACTTTATAGGTCATGGAGGCCACCCGGAACTGACACTAGGCCGTGACCTGACAGGGGCCATGACTTTTCAATGTTCCTCTTCGTTGGACAGCTGAATCTCCACTATGCTGTTTTGTTGTTCTGCAGGCCGGGGAAATCTGGGTCGTTGCCCTCGCAGCCCTCATCAATGAATCATCATAAGTCGGTATCATCATCAGGACCACCATCATCACCATCATCAGCATTATAGTTGGTGGTCTGGGGTTTGCATTTGCAGATGCCGATGCGCGTCTCTGTTTGTGTTGCTGATGTTGTGTTTGCTGCTGCAAGTTCGTGTCGGTGTTTGTCGCTGCAACGCAGTCCCTTTTTGACCGTTGCCCGTGGAACGATTTCAACCAATCTAGGCGAACGAGCACCCCTTATCCCAGCACAAACCCAGCATACTGAAATGCGCAGTCGAAAACATCAGTCCCAAGCGTGTTCAGCAAGAAGCTGTCCAAGATCTTTCAAACAAAATTGAGGGCTCTGGGCTGTAGGCTGGCATGCAGCTGGCATGGTGGGATGGTAATGCCAGCTGCGCTCCTGGAGGGAGAGTGGAGAGGGATCCGCCGGGGGCCCGGTTGAGTCTTCCCCTTCGCATCCACAGCTTCCTGCGCGGCAACAAAGTGATGCCTTAGCATGTTGATGGCCGCCGCTGGCTCATGCAGCTGATCGAGAAAGATCTGAGCCTTCGCACATGGTATATAAGCATCCCTGTCCAAAAGATGCACAACATGTCGCCAGAGACGCCGTATCGCTCCGGGGTCCTGCAACAGCTGGAAACGTGGACGTGCCCTGGCGCTCGTAAGGGATAATTTGCAAGACCCTCATGCCGTGATGGTTCAGCTCGTCTCCGAGGCAATTTGAACACACTGTCCAGCTGCTCTTTGTGAAGCAGCTGGCACTGGAGCTCGCCAACCAGTTGGATGCGGCAAGCGATGCCTCGTCCAGGCAGTTTGCCTCAGTTGTTTGTTAACCTTGAGTTCTGCTGTGTTCTACCGCCCCATCAACGAACGGAGTCAGGTGCGGCGAACTTCCAGGTCGTGACGAGCATCCACAGCCGCCAACGTGGCCGCATGCTGCCCTGGTCTACATTGCCACGGAGAGTGGCGAGCTCTGTTCTCAGAGCTTACGATGCAATTTGACTCTTCCCATGGCTCCCCGTCAGATCTGGCCTTGTCACATGGCAAGCTTCGACAGGTGCAGTGGCATTCTTGACCCGAGGTCACTAATTTCGGGCTCTGCTGCCACCGGGTCGGGCTCATCGGGGGATGCCTTGGAAGAGCAGCTGCTGAGTTGCAAAGAGATTGTTCTGCGAGCGTTCGTCGCATCCGCCTGTTGCAGCTACCCGAGACTTGCCGTGAGGTGCAGCGAAATGTCAGATTTTCCACACGAGCACCGCTGTCAGGACCTACTTCACAGTTTGATTCTCCTAATGGCTCTCTAAGCCTGGCCTATCTTGATAGTTGATGCTGATGCCTGGGCATGGGACTCGTTTGACACGGGACAGCTGCAGCGGTGTTCGGGTGACCTCATCGTCCAACTCGTCGGACCTGTTGGCTGGCCAATGACACGACTTTCAGTTTGGCTTCTACCTGCTGCCAGGAGGGTGAGAACGAATCCCCGGAAGCCGGGCAGACACTTATCTTAAGCTTGCCGGATGGGTGCCAGTTCTGGGTCTGACTATCAAGGGGTGCCTGCAGCCCAGGTCAAGGTCGCCGTGTGTCGGCAGCGCTCTCGCTCTAAACTTGCAGTGCTGCCCGCGGAAGGAGGACCTGAAGCGCAAGAGCTGGGGCTCCACTGCCATTGGGTCGGGCTTATCGGAGGATGCCCTCGAAGAGCAGTTGCCGAGTTGCAAACAGCATGTTCTGCGCCTGCGCCAGAGTGCAGCTCCATGGGAGCGGGCGGCCCACGAGCGACCCGGCTGGATGCACCTCCGTTCTCAAGGCCGCTTCATGCTGAAGCCGTTGCCGTGGTCAGCAGACTTTGAATCTGCTTTCCTGGGCACAGTCCTTGAGCAACACGAAATTGCTCGAGGCTTCCATGGTATCGCGCGCACAGGCGTTTTGGCAGAGCACGAAGTGGTCACCAAGGAGATGTTCCGCGACTCTGACGATGAAGAGCTCTTTAAGGAAGTTTACCTTGGACTCCTTGTCCGTGCATGATTGCCTGGAAGAACTAAAGTGCTTCCCCTTGCATGCCTGAGAAGGTTCGCAGAAGACAGCCCTTTGAGCTTGCAATGTTTTACATTTGGGCAGTTTCCACCCAGAATCCTGCAATGACTGGCCTCGCGATCAGGAAAATTAGTGTTGACGGGTCAGCTCGTTGCACCCTCCCCAATCGTAGCGCTTCTTCCCTCGCCGGCCGTAAAGCTCTGCACTGCGACCTTTCAGGGTTCCGGAGATAAGGGCTAGGCTTCGGGTCGGGGATTTAAAGTTCAGGATCTGGGGCTAAGGGGGCAGTGTTGATGTAAAGAGCGTGCAAACCAAGAAGTCCCCCGAGCTCGGTTTGGTGACAGCCCAGGGCTAGATGCCCCTGGTTTAAGAACTGTCGCAGCACCGGTGGTGGTAGCCGTCATGCTGTTACTCCGTCACCTGCTCAAGTGCACAGTGAGCATGCTGGTTAGGTGCATGGCTGTCTTTCTTGGTAGCGGATGCAGGTGCATCTTGGCATGCTGAGGCCCAGAAGAGTATTTCTTCTTCCTGGAAACCTCGCCGGACAAGAGCAGGCACTGGTCCAGGCCTATGTCCCGTCCTCGGCTACAAAAATGCATCGCGCAGGCGATTTCTCGACATGAAAGCATCGCTGATGACTGCTCCCAGCTCAGACTATGCAGCGAGCACCCTCTCCTTGGACAGAAGTGCTTACTGCCCTGTTGATGAGGCTGTGCCTCCGTCAGGGCTCTTTTGCATACCCGGTGCGGATGTGGAAGAAAAAGCATATCAAACACCTTAACAGTATGCTGTAAAGCCCACAAGTTGCAGAATCAAAGCATAACCCTCCTATCTGAACGGTGTGTTATTATCATCGTTTACTCATGGTTGTTATGGTCATCATTTCTACATCTACTATTCTAAGTCATTATGATTGTTATTAATATTGTTACTCTTGCTAGTATTGTTAGTATGATATTCCAGGACATGCCCTCCATTTCCACCAGGCAGCTGATTTGCTTCTGCAGGCAGTTCCATCTTCAGAGATTTCAACGACCTGAGCCCGGGGGAACACGTTGCGGACTGTGCCATGGTGATTTTTTTCTGTGGTCCTCTACCCATAGCAGAAGAAGAAGAAGTAGTAGTAGTAGTAGTAGTAGTATAGTAGCATAGTAGTATAGTAGTATATAGTAGTATAGTAGTATAGAGTCGTATAGTCGTATAGAATAGATAGATAGTATAGAGTAGTATAGAGTAGCATAGAATCATAGTAGCAGACTAGTATAGTGGTATAGTAGTATAACAGTACCCCGCTCACCGCGGTGGTGGCGTGAGTGTTCTTGCCAGGCGCCCGGTGCCGGAATCTTCGGGGGTTAAGACTGATGGCTTAAGGGTGCGGGGTGTCGGTGCTGGAGAGGCACGGCGGGTGGGGTGGGCGGCTTGTGATCCTGGCCTTCGTGATGTTTTCACAGGTGTCCCTGTCCTTGAAAAGTGCAGTCTCGTGATACTTCTCAATGAAGGTTCACGACCGTACTGGACCCTCGTTTCATCTCGGCCCGGGCGTGGCCAACTGGGAGGATCGCTTGCTTTTGCTCATGGAATCCATGTGGCTTGCGAATGCAGACAGATCCCAAGCCAGCCTGTAAATCGACTCCTGGTCAAGCTTTGTGACTTTGTGCTTTGTGATCTGCTCCCTGAAATCCTTGAACGAGTTGGCAGCCGGGTCTTTGGGCATGTGGTCGTAACGCCAACGCCCGCCCTTCAATTTTTAAACCTTTGTACGGTAGACTGTGTACATTTCACAGACACTAAAAGTCTGTAACACCAATGCCCACCCTTGGTTTTTGCATGCTTGTATTGTAGACTGTGTACACTTCACGGACACTATAGGTTTGTACCCCCAACGTCCGACGTCCACCCTTGCATTGTTGCTTCTTTGTATTGCAGACTGTGCAAGTTTCACGTACACTAAAAGTTTGCAGCGCCAACGTCCACTCATGAGAGTTCTTGTATTGTAGACTGTGTATACTACAAGTTTGTAACACCAACGTCAACCCTTGGTTTCTGCATGCTTGTGCTGTAGACTGTGTAAATTTCACGGCGATTGTTTATAAGTATACAAGTCTGTAACGCCAACGTCCATCCTTCAGTTTTTTGCATCCTTGAATCGTATACTGGGAGAAGCTTACAGACACTAACGCCCACATCCATCCTTGAAACTTTGCATCCTTGTATTGTAGACTGTGTAATATCGGACACTAGAAGTTTGTAACGCCAGCCTCCACCCTTGAGTTTTTGCATCTTTTTGTTGCAGACTGTGCAATTTTCACGGACAGTAGAAGTTTGTAACGCCAACGTCCACCCTTGAGTTTTTGCATCTTTGTATTGTAGACAGCGCAAATTTCACGGACAATCACGGACACTGCAAGTTTGTAATGCCATCCTCGTACCCTTGAGTTCTCGCATCCTTGCATTGTGGACCTTGTAAATTTCACGGACACTATAAGTTTGTAACGCCCACGTCCACCCTTGAAATGTTGCATCCGTGGATTCACGCCAACGTCCACCTTTGAGTTTTTACATCTTGTTATTGTAGACTGTGCAATTTTCACAGACACCAAAAGTTTGTAACGCCAATGTTCACCCTCGAGGTGTTGCATCTTTGTATTGTAGACTGCGAAAATATTCACGGACAGTAGAACTAGAAGTTTGTAACGCCAATGTCCGTGCTTGACAATGTTGCATCTTTGTATTGTGGACCGTGCAAGCTTCACGGACACAAAAAGTTTCTAACGCCAACGTCCACCCTTGAGTTTTTGCATCTTTTTGTTGCAGACTGTGCAATTTTCACGGACACTACAAGTTTGTAACACCAACGTCCACCCTAGATATTTTGCATCCTTGTATTGTAGACTGTACATTTCACGGACACTAGACGTCTTGAAATGCTGCATCCTTGTAGTACAGACTGTAATTTCACGGGCACTACAAGTTTGTAACGCCAACGTCCACCATGGATTTTCTGCATCCTTGTTATTGGACCGTGTAAATTTCGCGGACACTTTAAGTTTGTATCACCCATGTCCACCCTTGAAATTGTGCATCCTTCTATTGTAGACTGTGTATATTTCACGGACACTACAAGTTTGTAACGCCAACGTCCACCCTTGTCATTTTGCATCTTAGTCTTATTGACTGTATCATTGCACGGACACTACAAGTTTGTATCACCAACTTCCACCTTGGAAATTTTGCATCCTTGTATTCTAGATAGTGTATATACCACGAACACTACACGTTTGTAACGCCAACGTTCACCCTTGACATTTTAAATCTTTGTTTTGTAGACTGTATACATTTCACGGACTCTATAAGTTTGCATTCCAACGTCCACCCGTGAATTGTTGCATCTTTGTATTGTAGACTGCGTATATTTCACAGACACTATAAGTCTGTAACGCCAACGTCCACCCTTGAATTGTTGCATGTACTGTAGTATCTTGTTGTATAGACTGTAAATTTCACGGACACTACAAGTTTGTAACGCCAACGTCCACCCTGGAAATTTTGCATCCTTGTATCGTAGACTGTGTATAAGTTGTGTATATTTCACGGACACTATAAGTTTGTAACGCCAACGTCCACCCTTGACCTTTTATCTCTTTGCTTTGTAGACTGTGTAATTTTCACGGACACTATAAGTTTGTATTCCAACGTCCACCCTTGAATTTTTGCATTTTTGTCTTGCAGACTGTGAAATTGCACGGACACTACAAGTTTGTAACACCAACGTCCACCCTAGAAATTTTGCATCCTTGTATTGTAGACTGTGTATATTCACGGACACTATAAGTCCGTAACACCAACGTCCACCCTAGAAATGTTGCATCCTTGTAGTATCTTGTTGTATAGACTGTAAACCTCACGGGCACTAAGACTACAAGTCTGTAACGCCAACATCCACCCTTGATTTTCTGCATCCTTGTATTATGGACCGTGTAAACTTCACGGACACTATAAGTTTGTAACACCAATGTCCACCCTTGAAATTGTGCATCCTTCTATTGTAGACTGTGTATATTTCAACGACACTATATGTTTGCAGTGCCAACGTCCACCCCTGAAATGTTGCATCCTTGTATTGTAGACTGTGTATATATCACGGACACTACAAGTTTGTAACGCCAACGTCCACCCTTGTCATTTTGCATCTTAGTATTGTAGACTGTGTATATATCATACAAGTTTGTAACACAAACGTCCACCCTTGGTTTTTGCATCCTCGTATTGTAGACTGTACATGTCACGGACACTATACGCTTGTAACGCGGGTGAAGAGGATATCGGAAAACAAAGGGCGAAATCAACAAAACAATTTCGGAAAACACGGAGAGGGATTCCCGAAAACGGCCGATCAGGCTGACAGAACCGGAATCAGAAAACAACGAAGACGACATCAGAAAACAGCCCAGAATCAGAAAACAAAATCAGAAAACAGGAAAGGTAAAATCAGAAAACGGATGTGACAAAAATGTATAATCTCAGGACCCCAAGTGGGAATATTGTCGATCCTGCAGGGACAATAGGCAGGCAGTTCAAACAAGAGTGCTACGTCCTTTAGTCTTTTCTGGTTTCAATCTCACAGGCGCTTTAATCGGAAGCCGTGCAACCCTAAACGCTAAACCGTAAACCCTGACCCCAAGATGCCACCTCAATCTTGCCAATCACGGGAGCAGATGCAAGTTCTTGGGCCGGCCATGGGCTCAAAATGGAATGTCCAGAGTTCTCGGAGCATCCGGGTGCTTCATCCGTCCAGCTCAGGAGAGGGCCCTGGCACAGGCCGAAATCCGTAAGTCGGGGGTCATGTTCACTGTGCTATGACTCTCGCACTAGATTCTGGGTCTGTAGTTAAGCATTATAATCGGGTTGAACATGCCAGCGACTTTAACTATACGAGCAGGAACCATTGTGGTCTAGGACATTTGTAGCCGCAGCATCTCGCCATATCTCACACGTGCTGGAGCTCATCCGTTGCCGTTGCAATGGCCGCTGCCTGAGCCTTCTCAGATCAGCGCTCTAGAGACTTCTTTCCGGTGCCACAACATGATCCAAAACCCGGCAGCCCCGCTTTTGGGGTTCTGGCTGCTTCTCAGGTGCTGGGTCTCAGCAGCCATCAGCCCGACAGCCTCGAGAACGAGGCTCCGGCCGGTGCGAGACAGGATAGACGCAGCACATAATTCCTAGCTGATTTCGTTCCATGCAAGCCACTTGCGATGTGATGCGCAATTTCCTGCAGGAGAGCGGCGTGTGTTTCAGTTTGTGTGCCTGGTAGTATCTCTCGCTAGCACTTCTTGGTGGTGTTCTCTTCAGACTTCAGAACCGAACATAGTGAAAGAGGCGACTCTAATGAATCGTCACACATCCGATTTTCTGCAAACCTCAAGAGGGCCTGTCAACGCCCAAGTGTAAGACCTCCTGCGAGTGTTTCCGCTGTCACCCGATGAGGGATCGGACTACACTTGGTTCGGATGGTCGGTGCATTCCGTCCAGTTTGGTAAACCAAGATACGAATTCACCACGATGCCTCATCCGGCCCGATCTATCAGCGTCGGAGGCGCATTTGTCCTTCCTCGGCCTCAGAGGTTCGGCCCTGGTTGTGGCAAGGGCAAGGGTCTTCGGAGTGTTCCGGAGCTGTTCGGATGCATTTGTCATATCGCTGTTACGGTGCCATGGAGTGCAACTTTGACACTGAAGGCATGTGTTCCCGGGCTGGCAGTA